ATTAGTTTATTTTTTTTTTTTAACTACTGGATGGGGGTGCGGACTGGCCGCGTATAATAACCAGGAAAGGGCAGGGAGTCACGCCTGTACATAAATGGGGTGGGAGGTTGAGGCAAATCGCCTGGCCGCTGATTACGCGCAGCCAGACACCAGGGCGGTTAGAAGAGCACAGCAGGGCGCGGTGTGCATCAGAGAAGCTTTGAAAACCAGTTTAATGACTGGCCAGGCTACGGTGTGGACGTTCTGTTTGTTTCTCCTTGATGAACCACCCCCCCGGTTCACTCTACTTCCCTGTAAGCTAGCCACCCTCCCATTCCCCATTTGATCAGCGCTTGCAGAGGCAATAAAGTCATTGTTACTTCACATTCATGCATTCCTTATTAATTCATCACACAAATAGGGGGATAACTGCCAAGGTAGCCCGGGGGGGGGGGGAGGAGGTAAGCGCCAAGTGGGGTGCAGGAGGAGGGAAGGATAAGGCCACACTGCACTTTAAAACTTATTGAAGGCCAGCCTTCTGTTGCTTGGGCAATCCTCTGGGGTGGAGTGGCTGGGTGGCTGGAGACCCCTCCACCGCATTCTTGGGCGTCTGGCAGGTGAGGAGGCTATGGAACATGGGTAGGAGGGCTGTTGGTTACACAGAGGCTGTAGCGGTGGTCTGTGCTCCGGCTGCCTTTCCTGCAGCTCAACCATACGCTGGAGCATATCAGTTTGATGCTCCAGCAGTCGGAGCATTGACTCTTGTCTTCTGTCAGCAATCTGACACCACCAATCCTCTTCAGCCCGCCACTTACTCTCTTCAGCCCGCGATTCAGCCCGCCACCTCTCCTTGTGTTCATATTGTGCTGTCCTGCACTCTGACATTGTCTGCCTCCACGCATTCTGCTGTGCTCTGTCAGCGTGAGAGGACATCTGTAGCTCCCAGGGCCAGTGCAACCCATTAGGCAACCTAGGTGGTCGCCTAGGGCGCTAACATTTTGGGGGCAGCGACCACGGCGGCCGGATCTTCAGCCTCCCCGGTCATTGGTGGTATTTCGGGGGCGGGACCTTCCGCCGCCTAGAGCAGCAAAAAAGCTGTCAGTGCTCCTGGTAGCTCCGAGAACATGTCATCCCAAGTGTTTTTTTTTTCTCCTTCTAATCTTCGCTAGCCTCTGCGAAGGAGAAACATTTTCAGCTGATGGGGGAAAAGGAAGATTGGTAGTTAAAAAGACACATTTTAGAGAACAATAGGATCACTCTTTCCCGTTAAACCTTGCTGTTCACATTACACAGCACATGTGCTTTTGTTACTAGGTCGCATTTTGCCTCTTATTTATATTGAGGGTGTGATGGGTTGGATCACAGAAACCCCCTTGGGAGCTGCCACCTGATGTGCAAAGACTACCTCTGCTCCTGTTTTCCCTGCCAGCTCAGGACTCCAGGACCCTGTCTTGCTGAGCCAGACACTCCTGTCTGCTCCAACACAGACCCAGGGTCTGAATCACTTGCCCCAAAGCTGCAAGTTTACCTGAAAACAGTTCACAGAAGTTTGCTTGTCTTTAGCACTCAGATGCCCAACTCCCAATGGGGTCTAAATCCAAATAAATCTGTTTTACCCTTTATAAATCTTATGCAGAGTAAACTCATAAATTGTTCGCCCTCTGTAACACTGATAGAGAGATATGCACAGTTGTTTGCTCCCCCAAGTATTAATACATACTCTGAGTAAATTATTAAATAAAAAGTGATTGTATTAAATACAGAAAATAGGATTTAAGTGGTCTCAAGTAGTGACAGACAGAACAAAGTAAGTCACCAAGCAAAATAAAATAAAATACGCAAATCTATGTCTAATCAAACTAAATACAGATAAGTTCCTCACCAGTTCCAGAATGCTCCCTTTTACAGGCTAATCTCCTTTTAGCCTGGGTCCAGCAATAACTCACACCCCCTATAGTTACTGTCTTTTGTTCCAGTTCCCTTCAAGTATCCTGAGGGGGTGGAGAGGTTCCTTCCTTAGTCAGCTGAAGACAAAATGGAGGGGTCTCCCACGGGTTTAAATAGACTCTCTCTTGTCGGTGGAGACCCCCCTCCTCACTCCTATGCAAAGTCCAGCTCAAAGAAGGAGTTTTGGAGTCACCTGGGCAAGTCACATGTCCCTGCATGACTCAGTCTTTACAGGCCGAAGCCATTGTCCACATGGTATCTTGCTTGTCTCCAGGAAGACTTCTTATGTGGATTGGAGCATTCCAAGATGCATTGTTCCCCAAGTGTTTCCTGATCAGGTACTTAACCTGGTGAATTCCTTCCTAAAGAAGCTGACCAAATGCCTCACAAAGCTTACTTAGAAACCAAGCAAGCATACAGCCCATATTCTTAACCTCAAGTAGAAAATGATATATATGTACTAATAGGATGAATAGATATAGTAGACCATAACCTTTATGGAGATATATTACATGGCATAGGCAGCACAAAACATATTCCAGTTATGTCATACATACATTTATAAGCACCCCCCCCATAAAGCCTTATGGGGTACACTGTCACAGAGGGCCTGCCGGTTTGGTGTGAGAGATCACTCACACAGTGCCAGGCAACAGAATTCAGCTTGCAGGCAGCCATGGTAAGCCACAGCCTTTTGGCTTCTTTAACTTTCATAACATATGGAAATGGTTTCAAACAGCAGCGCCCCCATTTCCCATATCAAGCAGCTGTTGGGTTGGCTATTTAAAATGGGTTGGCCATTTAAAAGGAGGGGCTGCGGTTTGCGGGTTAACATGCAGCACAAACCCAAATAACCTCCCTCCTACACATGTAATTCTCTGGGATGATCACTTCACCCCTCCCCCATTGCGTGGCTAACAGCGGGGAACATTTCTGTTCAGCTGCACAGCCAAACAGCCGAGCAGGAACAGGCACCTCTGAATGTCCCCTTAATAAAAGCACCCTATTTCAACCAGGTGACCATGAATGATATCATTCTCCTGAGGATAACACTGAGAGATAAGGAATGGATGTTGTCTGAATGCCAGCAAACACCGGGACCATACGCTGCCATGCTTTGTTATACAATGATTCCAGACTATGTGCTACTAGCCTGGTGTGGTAAAGTGTCCTACCATGGCAGATGGAATAAGGCAGCCCTCCCCAGAAACCTTTTGCAAAGGCTTTGGGAGTACATCCAGGAGAGCTTTATGGAGATGTCCCTGGAGGATTTCCGCTCCATCCCCATACACATTAACAGACTTTTCCAGTAGCTCTATTGGCCACGAATGTCAGGGCAAATTAATCATTAAACACGCTTTCTTTTAAACCATGTCTAATATTTACAAAGGTACACTCATCAGCGGTCCCTTGTCCGCCCTCAGGGTCCGGGAGCACGTCTTGGGTGGGTTCGGGGTTACTGGCTCCAGGTCCAGGGTGAAAAAGTATCCTGGCTGTTGGGGAAACCGGTTTCTCCGCTTCCTTGCTGTGAGCTATCTTCAAGCTCTTCATCATCATCTTCCTCATCCCCAAAACCCCTTCCGTGTTGCATGATTCTCCATTGTCGGAGTCAAAGCACAGGGTTGGGGTAGTGGTGGCTGCACCCACTAGCATGGCATGCAGCTCAGCATAGAAGTGGCATGTCTGCAGCTCTGACCCGGACCTTCCATTTGCCTCTCTGGTTTTGTGGTAGGCTTGCCTTAGCTCCTTAATTTTCACCCAGCACTGCTGTGCGTCCTTGTTATGGCCTCTGTCCTTCATGCCCCTTGAGACTTTTTCTAATGTTTTGGCATTTTGTTTTTTTCAACCTGCTGAGGTTTGCTTATCTTAAATGAGAATAATATTTAAGATGCAGATGTACAAGATATTCTTAGGTCCTGTCATATTCTATTTTTAAACAGGAGGGAGGGATTTACTGAAGAAAACAGCTACAACTATAGTTAAAAAACTTGGTTTCCAACACAGCTCAAGTTTCAGCTTTGTTTTCCTTGTTCAAAAAGGACCACATATTTTCTGGAGCTCTATACACCACATAGGATACATCTATACTTGAGCTAGATGTTATTTTCAGCTTGGGTAGATGTATGTGCACTAGCTTTGATCAAGCTAGCATGCCAAAAATATAACTGTAACAATGGCGGCACAGACGGCATGATGGGCTAGTCATCTGAGTGCATACCTTGGGTCACAGGCAGAACTTGTATTTGGGGCAGCTAGCCCATCCCCTTACTTCTGCCACTGCAGCTACACTTCTATTTTTAGCACACTAGCTCCATCTTGAGTTTACATGTACCCAGAGACACATCTAATGGCTGGATAATACAGTGCAAGTAAAAATATCATTATACCTGACAGATTTTACTTGATTGATCTAATTAACTAATACAGCATACAGTCCACTTGTTCAGGAGCTGGATTTTTTAAAGGGTTGGATAATTTTATTTCCATTAACATTTGCAACTATGAAAACTAAAATAAAAACAAAGGTAATTAAATCTCATGCTTTAGGGTATAAGATAATTGCCTGCAAGAGTTATTGTGAAAAAGGATTTTCCTGTGACCAATACCACACAGTTGGCTCTTTCATGATCCCCTCTGAGGAAAAAACAGTTACCTACCTTTTATAACTGTTGTTCTTTGAGATGTGTTGCTCATGTCCATTCCAAGTAGGTGTGTTTGCACCACGTGCACAGTTTATGGAAGGTTTCCCCCCTAGCGATATCCTTTGGGTCGTTCAGGCACCCCCTGGAGTCGGGCCATCATGCCACTGCATATATAGCCCTGCCAACCTGCCACCTCTTCAGTTCCTTCTTGCTGGCTGGCACCGACAGAGGGATAGGCGGGTGAGTTTTGGAATGGACTTGAGCAATACATTTAAAAGAACAACTGTTACGAAAAGATAGGTAACCGTTTTTTCTTCTTTGAGTGCTTACTCGTGTTGATTCCAAGTAAGTGACTCCCAAGCATTTCCTAGGAGAGGAATGGGAGTTAATTCGTGGATTGTAGCACCACTCTGCCAAATGCAGGATCATCCCTGGCCTGCTGTGTGATAGCATAGTGTGAGATGAAAGTGTGAACTAATGACCATGTTGTGGTCCTGCAGATCTCCTGTATGGGAATCTGCGCCAGGAATGCTGCTGAGGACACTTGCACCCTTGTGGAGTGTACTGTCATTGCGTGGGCTGGCACCTTTGCCAAGTCATAGCATATATGAATGCAGGAGGTGATCCACAAAGAAATTCTTTAAGAAGACACCAGGAGGCCCTTCATCCTATCTGCTACTGCAACAAACATCTGGTTTAATTTCCAAAATGGCTTCATCCGTTTGATATAAAAAACCAATGCCCACCGAATGTCCATTGGCCCTTTTGTGGTCAGGTATCACATTTGTTATTTCTGTCCTAACTGGTTACTTCAGTTCTTTCCAAGTTCCAAGTTGTGGTATACCTGTTAAGTTTAAAAGGCTATGAACTTAGGAAAGCCTCTATGCCAACCTGCTTTAACGCATCCTCTACGTTAAAGGTCGCAGCCATACATGGATCTTATGCTTTAGCTCATCACCATCTGTCTTAGGGTTGCCAACTTTCTAATCCCACAAAACCGAACACCCTAGCTCTGCCCCTTCCCCAGGCCACGCCCCCTTCCCCGAGGACCTGACCCCTGCTCACTACATTCCCCCTCCCTCGGTGGCTCCCTCTCCCCCACTCTCACTCACTTTCACTGGGCTGAGGCGAGGGGGTTGGGATAGGGGAGGGGGTGTGGGGTCTAGGGTGGGGACAAAAATGAGGGGTTCAGGGTGTGGGAGGGGGCTCCAGGCTGGGCAGGGGGTTGGGGTGCAGGGGGTGTGAGGGCTCCATCTGGGGGTGCAGGCTCTGGGGTGGGGCCGGTGATGAAAGGTTTGGGGTGCAGGAGGAGGCTCCAGGCTGGGACAGACTTTGGTACCAAAGACTTTGGACCCCGAAGAGGATTCTTCATCTGGAGACCATGGCAATGCAGTACCTGCTTCAGCCACTGGGCAGTGCCGAGAGACTGAGGACTGGTGTCAGGACAGTGACTGGTGCATCAGTACCATGGAGGGCTTGCCTCTGGACAGTGCCACAGTGGTTGGTACCGGGAAGGAGCTTGCCGGACCTTGTTCCCTTCTGTCTCCAGTCGCCTTGGCTGGAGGGGGTCTTTGAGGGGTTAGCGGTATTGGGAGGGAAAGCAGTTCTTTCACAATCTGAAAGGCCTCTGGGATCAAAGGGATGAACAAACGCCTGGCCCAAAGGCTGCTCCAGGCAGTTGGTGGCGGGTCCCATTCTGGACTTGGCGCTCTGGGCGGAGTCTGCAGCACCATCAATGGCTCAGGGGAAGATGAGTGGCCCAATGTATGTCTCACTACATCAGTCTGTCTCTGCCTTTCTCTCTTTGTCACTGGAGAATGACCTCTCTCGGTGCACTGTTTCTTATGTTTCTTCCTTGGCACTGGGGATGGAGAATGGTGCTGGGAAGAATGCGGTGCCAGGGGAGCGCTCCACATGGGGGTCAAAATACTAAGCTCTGATTCAGAGCGGTTCAGCTCCTAGACTGGTCTGAGGGCTGCCTCCATGAGAATGGCCTTCAGCCGAATGTCTCTGTCCTTTCTGGTATGAGGTTTGAAGCCCCTGCAGATCTGGCACTTCTCTTTGACGTTAGACTCCCCCAGACACTTTGGACAGCTAGCGTGTGTGTCACTTACTGGTATCAGCTTACCGCAAGAGGTACACGGCTTAAAGCCTGGGGACCGGGACTTGCCTTAGTAACAGGAACAACTATTTACATTACTATATACACTAACTCTAACTAAGAACTATATACATTAACTATGATAACTATACAGAATATGAACAGAGAAAGTTCAACCACTGGGAAAGAAACCTTGCCACAGCAAGAGAGGTCATTACAGCAACCATCAAAGGCAGTAAGAAGGAACTGAGAGGGTGTGGGGCTGGCAGGGCCCCTTATACTGGCGCATACATGCACGGCTCCAGAGAGCACTAGAGCAGGCCCTATGGATACCACAGATGGAAAAATCTCCAGCAACTGTGCATGTGGTGCACACACCCCTAGCAAGCAGTGGACATGAGCAAGCATTCAAAGAAGAACTTGTAGTTTAGCTTGCTCATTTTGGGGGGAAATGAGACTGCATATGGAGCAGCACACCCCAATCCTTTAGCAGTGAATTGCAAAAAGATCTCCAGAGTTTAATAAGGAGGGTTTGAAAAAAAGGAATGCAACAGGAGCAGCGGAAGCGCCCTAAAAGTGAGGGGGCCAGAGGCACCCAGAACATGGCCCTGCCCCCACACTGGCTCTTCTCCTCAAGTCCCCACCCTCATGCCACACATTCTACCTGAGGTTCCACCCTTGCACCGCCCCTTTCCCCGCTCCCCGACCCTCACACTGCCCCTTCTCCCAAGCCCCCACCCCTGCACCACCTCTTCCCTCCAAGACTCTGCCCCCACTAGCTCCTCTCTGCCCCCTCCTCTGTTGTTCACCCTGACAGCCCATAAAAAGTGGGGGAGGGAGCTAGGGCCCGCTGGCCCCCCTGTTCTGGTGCCCCTGGAATGCAATAATAGGTAGGTGGCTAGGCAGGGACATAGCTGGGCCACTGCTTAGCTGGACATTTCAGGTACACAGGTCCTGCAATACAGAACTGGAGAGAACTCTTACAGTTCCATCCTGAGGCATTTGCAGCTTTCCTTGTGGATAAGCAGGAAGAGACCAGGGTTCCTGCACAGAGAATTCCTGAAAGGGGAGGGAGTTTTTGCCAATTTTTATGTTCCATGACCCCTAGGAAAGGAGCCACCCATGTGGTGCCAAGACACGGGAAAATAAGTGGAGAAGGGGTGACCTTTACTGTGAACTTGAGCCACACACACAAAATGTTAGCCACTTACATTCACTGTGATTCATGATGTGCAGTCACCAAAGTGCACATCTTCCAAATGCATTGCGTAATAGTTTAAAAAATTAAACATGATCTAAGACCTTCTGTACCTGTAGTACACATGAAAAAAACTGTGCTGAAAAGAATTTATGTGGGGGAAGAAGCTTGACAGGAATCCAATCATAATAACTATGCTGAGTAAGAGGCACTTAAAATTCACCTGCTTATAGTAAAAGAAAGAAGAGTATAGACATAGCTCCTTGAAGATAAAATGCCCCTTCATTTAGTAACTGGCATAATAAAGATAGATGATAGAAATGTGAACATAATACTCTTTACAGAATGGCAGGGGCAGAACAGTAGGAATTTACTGTTATTGTTTTCCTTGTAATAAGTCTATTCAAATCAACTATGCATCACAGACTGCATGGTAGGATCAAATTATCTTAGCTTTGACATTTATTGAAGCATTTTATTGTATTCTGACTCAAGTTTCCTCTTGCGGATTTAACCTAAGTTACACTCTAAACTACTATTTAAAAATTACATGATAATAATATACATATTGTAGTGAAAAGTTATTACATTTCTTCTTGAGCGATGTAGTTGCTTAACCTAAAGCATAAAGTAGTTTCAAATACTTTGAGCTTTAATTTATTAATTTGCTAAATCAATTGCTAAATCTTAAATAGTGGGGAAATAGGTGATTAAAAATCAGAGTTTGAGTGCAGATAGGAAAAGAAGCTGAATTAGTGAGAACAACATTTGAACACTGAAGAATTCTGGAGGTATAAATGAAACTAGAGAAATAACACTTTGTAAATGGCAGAAAAAACACACTGTGAGGCAAGAGCAAATAAAATCTCTTACAGAACTTTTTGAATTAACTGTAAATGTAAGGTCATCAACATAAACATCATTTAAAATGATGACTTAAAATTATAGAGGGATGAATGTTGTAAAAGATGACTATTCTGTATGTATTTCCAACAGAATGAGAAATTCTAATTAATGAGGTAAGAAAAAGATAAGGTTATTACATAAGAAGAAACTGGCATACATATGAAATAGGTGAGGTCATAAGGCAAACAAAGGAGGAGAATATGATTAATAAAGACTAGAAAGAGAATGGAAAATTAATGAGGCCACTTACTGTAGAAAACCACATCACTTTAAGAATCCAAATTGTCAAAGCAAAATTCACAACTAGGACGATAAGCAGGAGGAGGACAAACAGGTAGAGGCAACGCTTTCTCCAGCCATAAATGCCAATGTTGTAGACATATTGGTTTTCTGGCCTCTCTAGGCTGGTGCCTTGTGTTGTTGTGGTGTATTGTTCACGTACCATTTGCTACAGAAGGGGGGGGGAAAAGAGTTTTGTTAAATATGTAAATTAATTTCTTTTAAAAAATTCTGTAAGAGAAAAACAAAATCAAATGTCTATCACTTTAAGTGATATCATTATTAGGCTCCAATTTGCTGCATGATAACATAGAATAGAAACATTTTTGCTTCTTTTTCATAATATTTGAACAAAAAAATCCCACCTGAAAATATAACACTAGTCATGGCATAATCTGCAACTCACATAGCAATAACTGTATTGTATAATGATATTGTAAACTATGCTGAAGACACAGTCGAGATAAAACATAAAATTTAGGATTTTTTAAAATTCCAAGAGGTACTATATATTATTTTCTATTTTAAATACCAATTCTATCACAACATACATTCCAATATTTTCTATATGCAGTAACTATTACAACTAGCTTGTTGCAGTACTAAACTGTGTATCACTGGAATGCCAAAGTTTGTTAGGTTTCATGACCTGTATATGAAGAAGGAAAAGAGGTTTTAAAACTGCAAAGGAAAAACATGCTTGCTCAACCTTTTATCACAATAAATATTTAAAGATGTTCTACTAATAGAAACATACAGTAGTAACCAGGGTTAAACATCTTCAGTCACACTACATTATAGTTTTCAAAGAAGCACTTACTAAAACTTAAAGGCAATTAGTTACTTACCAAAATACTTTCCCTTAAAACATGAAGACTGTCACTACTTTACACTTTGAAAGTATGGAAAGTTTACATTTGAGCCAAGAGAATAAAAACTCAATAGCTGAAGCTGTTTATCAAAAAACAACAATGTATAATATCCGTCTCAGCTCCACTGATATAAAGGGGGTGGAACCCCCAAAACCCTAATGTGCAAAAGTAAACAGATTTTGTAAATTCAAGTATCTCCCATAAACCAGGTAAGCCCTCTGGGCTCTTACATAAGAAAACATGTCCATTTTCTCACAGTATTATATTCCCAAATGAGAGTTCCTTCAGATTGGATTCTCATGAGGTTTCTTATCAATTTTGAATTTACTCCTGGGAATTAGATCACTATGGTCAGCACAAAGAATTTAAAAAATGTGATTAAATTACATCCTTGCCCAACTGCTGAATTACTCTAACTCATTAGGGCAGCTCTTTCGAAGTCTCCTGCAGAGCCATGCTCTGTCTGTAACAAGTAAGTGTTTCACAGTTCTGATGCTCTGCTTCAGGAATATCTGTCTTTTGTGATCTGTAGCTTTCTACCAAACCCCGAGTCAAAGAAAATAGTCTAGGTTTACAATTAAACAGAAGCTTATGTATTATTGTATGCCTAACTTCCTTGCATAATTATAATGTTCATCCCCTTTCTATATCTTTTCTTTCATATTTAAAAAAAACTATAATTCATAAAACATTGCAAAGGCTATGTTTTATTCCATACTCAAATAAAAACTGTGTAACAACTTGTGTGTTTGACCACTCCCGACATTTTCTTGCTACAGCAGCGATGCAATAATATTGCCATTGATTTGTTGTTATCAATCGAGCTAACCTCATAATGTTGGCAGACAAATCTTTTTACTTCCTGAAAATGCTCAAGCTGGTATAAAGAAGCTGGTAAAGTATAGGTAGGAGCTGAAGAGAAACAGTCAAATGAAAAAAGGAGTCCCATTTAATCAGATCGCATGAAGGCAGGCAACTAAATTCAGTACACCCTCGCTATAGCGCCCTTCATAATAATGAACCTTTGGCTATGATGAACCCAGTTCCTGGATCGCGCCTCGAGCCCCACTGCTGCGGCGGGGGCAGACAGCTCTTCCAGCCCCGCAGCTGCTTCAGGGGGTGACAGCTCCTCCACCTCTATGGCTGCGACGGGGGCTGACACCTCCTCCTGACAGCTCCTACAGCCCCGCTGCTGCGGTGGGTACTGTACTGATAAATGTTATAAGTTTTTGTATACAAATGCTAGAAGTCTAAATACTAAGATGGGTGAATTTGAGTGCCTGGTATGAAATGAGGATATTGATATAATAGGCATCCCAGAAAGTTGGTGGAACGATGATAATCAATGGACATGGTAATACCAAGGTAAAAAATATATAGGAATGACAAGAGCAGGTCATGCTGGTGGAGAAGTGGCACTATATGTCAAAGAAAGCATAGAGTCAAATATAGGAAAAATCTTTAATGAATCAAATTGTGCCACAGTCCGAAATTCCATGCTTGAATAATAAGAGTACAGCAGCAGGAATACACTACCAACCACCTGACCAGGATGAGGATGGTGATCGTGATTATGAAATTCTCAGGGAGATTAGAGAAGCTGTAAAAATAGAAAATTCAATCATAATGGGGATTTCAACTATCCCCATATTGACTAGGTACATGTCAGGTCAGGACAGGATGCAGAAATGAAATTTCTAGACACTATTAATGATTGCTTCTTGGAGCATCTAGTTCTGCAACCCACAAGGAGAGAGGCAAATCTTGATTTAGTCCTAATTGGAACGCAGGATCTGGTCCAAGGGGGGGAATAAAATTGAACAGTTTTAAATGAATATCTTTACTGAACATAATCCTCATCAAAACTGTGTTTATAGAGTGCAGGATGCCTGACTTGTAGGGGTCACTATATAATGCCAGTATGCAGAAGTAGATTAGGACTCTGACTTCCCAGTCTGATGACAAGGTGAGATGCTTGGACTTCGGAGAAGATATCAGCAGTTTGTCAGAACACTACTTATCTACCCATTAAGTAAAGATAACAAGCTGAAATAAAAAGCACAGCTACAGTAATTTTCTGCTAGAGGGAGAATGATTCAGGGGAAACAGTGATTCCAGTAAAAAGGGAGGAGAGAAATCTCAGGACCTCATTTCTAGATACATTCAGGTTAAAATCAAGTAGGGGAGGGAAAACCCAAACTTGTATGACTAGAAGGATTTTTCCCTCTTTTCAACCCCAGCAAATAATATCAAATATATACTATTGTCCCTAAAGTATATGTCACAATAATGTACTTGGATTTTAAATATTTATAGCATATTGTAATTTGCACCATAAACTAGTGTCATTAGCTAAAAAGCGAGGTCTCCTTGAACTGCAATTTGTGGGAACAAGCACTGAGAAAGTAATACACCATACTAAAGTGTTTGCATACCCATCAGTGCAAATCTGCATAACTATGAGTTCATCATAGCTAACCGCATTGGACATCATAACTGTTACTGCAATAACTGGAAAGGTTGTCACTCTCAGTACAAACTGAAATGCATCAGAATCTACTGTACTTAATGGTTGTATATTTGTGAATAAGTACTGCTAAAAATGCTATTTAAAACTTATATCAAGACTTTGCTTTTTATCTTTCATATATAATTATTTTTCCTCATTTAAAATATCCTTTCTGATAGGAAAAAAAAATCTTTGTCATCTAATCAGAAACCTGCCTCAGAGTCAAAAGAGACAGCAAAATACTTTTTACCTGATTTTATGAACGTTACTTTAGGTTCCTGCATGGTCTTAAAGCCTAACCAAGATTTTCAAAATTGGATATATTTTAGGTACCTCAAGTCTTACATCCCCAACTTGAGATGCCTTATAGGTGCTTGATTTATAGAAAGCGTTAAGCAGCCCTCTCCCTGAAATTCAAGCCCACCAGTCACTTTGGTAAATCTTTGTCTAGGTTTTCAAGTAATACACAGAGAGAAAGCAGAAGGAGAAAACTATAGATTGTCTTCTCTGTTCACTTATTGCTATAATAATATGACAGATGAAAGACCCATGAATTATGATATAGCCATCTTACATCATTAGCCTGTTCACAGGTCAGCAAGAGCAATCCTTGATCCATCAAGCAAGAGCTGTCTCAGAAGCACTTTTCTCTTTTAAGGGACTCATTACATTAAAATACCATTTCTTGATTGGAGCCTTAAAGCCAACAAACCATGCTTCATGTTAATAAAATTTTGGCAATACAAGATAAGGAGAATGTTTAACCCTAGAGAAAGTGCAGTCTTCTTTTCTGAAAACACTCAAGGTTAAGGCAAACCATAGATATGTTGATATGAAATCTAGTGTTCACATTAGGGATAAACTCAAGTGTGAGATGGAGGGCAACCCTACAAAGGAAAAAATGAACATGGGGGAATAAGAAAATAAGACAAGAATGGCATTCAGCTCCTCAACTCTTCTAGTGGAAGTCACTACAAAAAACTACCTTGAGGGATAGCAGCTTAAAGGAAATTGCTTCTAGAGTTTCAAAAAAGACGAACTGTTATTACTGGCCAAACCAAAGACAAATCCAACTGAGGGTTAACAGAATCGTAGAAGGGTGTCTAACAAATACACTGGTATAGGGTGTGAGTCATTTCCCCTTACACTGCAAGAAAACTACCAATAGCTGAAATCACTAGGAAATGAATATGAAGGACACTAAGTCCGTTTGTTGCCAATATATACCAGAGGAAACAAGAGAAGACATTAATATTGCACTCAGAATGCCATCTCATATATGCCTTCCAAATATGTGAATATGTACAGTGTCTGAGTTAAAAGATTCCTTCTGGTGACTAGGTAGTTGGGCAAAACGAGATGAGAATCTTTACTGCAGCAAATGGACCAACTCAGAGTCAGGAATTTTGAATGGGTGAATCAAACTGATTCCTGTGAGAGGAAATTTGAAACATAGGGGGGCATCTCCAGTAAGTCCCACAATAGACTAATTAGCACAATGAGGACACCAGCAAAGCACTAAAATGAGTGGCTCTTACTGAATATGTTGGGGATTGGGTAAATTGAGGAAAGCAGTATTCCAGATCCTTCAACCGCAAACAAAATGCATTGGTGGATAGCACTTTGGGATTAGAGAAAGAAGGTTGGTGAGGTAATATCTTTCATTGGACCAACTTCTGTTGATGAGACAGACAAACTTTTGAGCTTACACAGAGCTCTTCTTCAGCTCTGGGAAATTTACTCAGGGGGCCACAGCTAAATACAAGCTGGAACAGATTGTTTAGCATA